CTCTGTTCTCTGCGTGTTCTCTGCGTGTCTCTCTGCGTGTTCTCTGCGTGTTCTCTGCGTGTTCTCTACGTGTTCTCTAGGTTCTCTCTGCGTGTTCTCTCTGCGTGTTCTCTACGTGTTCTCTGCGTGTTTCTCGGTTCTACGTGTTCTCTGCGTGTTCTCTCTGCGTTCTCTGCGTGTTCTTGCGTGTTCTCTGCGTGTTCTCTCTGCGTGTTCTCTACGTGTTCTCTGCGTGTTCTCTGCGTGTTCTCTGCGTGTTCTCTGCGTGTTCTCTCTGCGTGTTCTCTCTGCATGTTCTCTCTGCGTGTTCTCTCTGCGTGTTCTCTCTGCATGTTCTCTAGGTTCTGCGAGTTCTCTGCGAGTTCTCTGCGTGTTCTCTGCGTGTTCTCTGCGTGTTCTCTCTGCGTGTTCTCTCTGCGTGTTCTCTCTGCGTGTTCTCTACGTGTTCTTTAGGTTCTCTCTGCGTGTTCTCTCTGCGTGTTCTCTCTGCGTGTTCTCTCTGCGTGTTCTCTCTGCGTGTTCTCTACGTGTTCTCTGCGTGTTCTCTCTGCGTGTTCTCTCTGCGTGTTCTCTCTGCATGTTCTCTAGGTTCTCTGTTCTCTGCGTGTTCTCTGCGTGTTCTCTGCGTGTTCTCTGCGTGTTCTCTGCGTGTTCTCTCTCGTGTCTCTGCGTGTTCTCTACGTGTTCTCTGCGTGTTCTCTGCGTGTTCTGCGTGTTCTCTGCGTGTTCTCTGCGTGTTCTCTCTGCGTGTTCTCTGCGTGTTCTCTGCGTGTTCTCTACGTGTTCTCTCTGTGTGTTCTCTGCGTGTTCTCTGCGTGTTCTCTGCGTGTTCTCTGCGTGTTCTCTACGTGTTCTCTACGTGTTCTCTGCGTGTTCTCTGCGTGTTCTCTACGTGTGTTCTCTACGTGTTCTTGCTTCTCTGCGTGTTCTCTCTGCGTGTTCTCTACGTGTTCTCTACGTTCTCTACGTGTTCTCTGCGTGTTCTCTGCGTGTTCTCTGCGTGTTCTCTGCATGTTCTCTCTGTGTGTTCTCTAGGTTCTCTCTGCGTGTTCTCTGCGTGTTCTCTGCGTGTTCTCTACTGCGTGTTCTCTGCGTGTTCTCTGCGTGTCTCTCTTGTTCTGCGTGTTCTTCGTGTTCTCGTGTGTCTGCTACGTGTTCTCTGCGTGTTCTCTGCGTGTTCTAGAGCAGCGTGCACACACCGGCCGTTAGCCACAGCAGCAGCAGCAGCAGCAGCACACGGGGGAGGACCTGAGGGGAGGCTGCAGGAGCGAAGAGTCACCGGTTGGCCCTTGGACACCAGGTGCAGCAGGTTAAAGCCCGACATCTCCACAGGTCACAGGTCACAGAGGTCAGAGGTCAGACGGACAGGCTAACACTCTGAAACACACATTTACCTTTATTAAAAACAGCCTGGATTTGGGTTTGGGCTGCGGGAGTTTGGAGGGACTGAAACAACATGACAACAAAACGCCACAAAACATGAACGACTCCAAACCCAACGTCAGACGGTCAGAGAGAAGAAACGACGAGAACACAGACGAACATCTGAGGAGAACAGTCGGAAGAACAGTCGGGGCGCACCGATATCGATATCGATATCGGTATCGGTATCGAGTATCAGCCTGATGCTGCCTCAATAAACTTGTACTCGTTAAACATTTGTCGATACCTGCACTTTTACAGCCTCCAGAACCAGACAGAATCCAGTCAGGAGAAACTGGGATAAATAAAGTGACTGTACATGAGCTGTGCACATATGACCCGCGCACACGATCTCTGACACAGAGAACACCCCTCTGACACACAGAGAGAACACCCCTCTGACACAGAGAGAACACCCCTCTGTCACACAGAGAGAACACCCCTCTGTCACACAGAGAGAACACCCCTCTGTCACAGAGAGAACACCCCTCTGTCACACAGTCACAGAGAGAACACCCCTCTGTCACAGAGAGAACACCCCTCTGTCACACAGAGAGAACACCCCTCTGTCACACAGAGAGAACACCCCTCTGTCACACAGAGAGAACACCCCTCTGTCACAGAGAGAACACCCCTCTGTCACAGAGAGAACACCCCTCTGTCACACAGAGAGAAACACCCCTCTGTCACACAGAGAGAACACACCCTCTGTCACACAGAGAGAACACCCCTCTGTCACCCTCTGTCATGTCACAGAGAGAACACCCCTCTGTCACACAGAGAGAACACCCCTCTGTCACACAGAGAGAACACCCCTCTGTCACACAGAGAGAACACCCCTCTGTCACAGAGAGAGAACACCCCTCTGTCACACAGAGAGAACACCCCTCTGACACAGAGAGAACACCCCTCTGTCACACAGAGAGAGAACACCCCTCTGTCACACAGAGAGAACACCCCTCTGTCACAGAGAGAACACCCCTCTGTCACACAGAGAGAACACCCCTCTGTCACACAGAGAGAACACCCCTCTGTCACACAGAGAGAACACCCCTCTGTCACACAGAGAGAACCCCCCTCTGTCACAGAGAGAACACCCCTCTGTCACAGAGAGAACACCCCTCTGTCACACAGAGAGAACACCCCTCTGACACACACACCCCTCTGAGAGAGAACACCCCTCTGTCACACAGAGAGAACACCCCTCTGTCACACACACACAGAGAGAACACCCCTCTGTCACACAGAGAGAACACCCCTCTGTCACACACAGAGAGAACACCCCTCTGTCACACAGAGAGAACACCCCTCTGACACAGAGAGAACACCCCTCTGTCACACACCCCTCTGACACACAGAGAGAACACCCCTCTGTCACACAGAGAGAACACCCCTCTGACACACAGAGAGAACACCCCTCTGACACACAGAGAGAACACCCCTCTGTCACAGAGAGAGAACACCCCTCTGACACAGAGAGAACACCCCTCTGACACAGAGAGAGAACACCCCTCTGTCACACAGAGAGAACACCCCTCTGACACACAGAGAGAACACCCCTCTGACACACAGAGAGAACACCCTCTGACACACAGAGACACCCCTCTGACACACAGAGAACACCCTCTGACACAGAGAGAACACCCTCTGACACAGAGAGAACACCCTCTGTCACAGAGAGAACACCCCTCTGTCACACAGAGAGAACACCCCTCTGACACACAGAGAGAAACACACCCTCTGTCACAGAGAGAACACCCCTCTGACACAGAGAGAACACCCCTCTGTCACACAGAGAGAACACCCCTCTGACACACAGAGAGAACACCCCTCTGACACAGAGAGAACACCCCTCTGACACAGAGAGAGAAACACCCCTCTGTCACACAGAGAGAACACCCCTCTGTCACACAGAGAGAACACCCCTCTGTCACAGAGAGAACACCCCTCTGACACACAGAGAGAACACCCCTCTGTCACACAGAGAGAACACCCCTCTGACACACAGAGAGAACACCCCTCTGACACACAGAGAGAACACCCCTCTGACACACAGAGAGAACACCCCTCTGTCACACAGAGAGAACACCCTCTGACACACACACCCCTCTGACACAGAGAGAACACCCCTCTGACACACAGAGAGAACACCCCTCTGTCACACAGAGAGAACACCCCTCTGACACAGAGAGAACACCCCTCTGTCACAGGGAGAACACCCCTCTGACACAGAGAGAACACTCATATTCCACTGAGTCTCTGTGTCCTTTAGTCCAACACAAACTGAACCACATCAGACACAAGAAACAACTGTTTTTTATCACACACATTCGTTTATGTAAATGAATCATGTGATTTTAAGTTTTGTTTCTGTAAAATGTAAACAAATGTGTCAAAGCTGAATTAGACTCATAATAATCTCAGGGTTGTTTGTATTTTTCCTGGTTTATTAAATATATAATTTGTGTGCGTTTGTAAGATTATGTCAGTAAACCAGGACACTTCATTTGATCATGTCACAGGGACATGAGGCGCAGGTGAACAGAAGATCCTGAATCCTGACATAAAAAGGATATGGACAATAACTGAGACACTGATGTGCAGGAAACACTCAGTGTGTTCAGGGGGTCGGGGTTAAAGTATCAGTATCAGTATCAGTATCAGCAAGTACAGAAAAGATTATACTTGTACTTGTATCTGTTTTCAAAAAACTGGTATCAGAGCATCACTGAAGAACAGCTCTGGTTTAAAGGAGGCACATTCTTCAGGGGCAGGAGGTCGGTTGTGTAGCCGTTGTTTCTTTTGTTTCTATTTTATTTTTATTTATCCAGTATTCACTGTGTTCTCCTCGCGCTCTCCTCGCGTTCTCCTCGCGCTCTCCTCGCGCTCTCCTCGCGCTCCTCGCGCTCTCCTCGCGCTCTCCTCGCGTTCTCCTCGCGTTCTCCTCGCGTTCTCCTCGCGCTCTCCTCGCGCTCTCCTCGCGCTCCTCGCGTTCTCCTCGCGCGTTCTCCTCGCGCTCCTCGCGTTCTCCTCGCGTTCTCCTCGCGCTCTCCTCGCGTTCTCCTCGCGCTCTCCTCGCGCTCTCCTCGCGCTCTCCTCGCGCTCTCCTCGCGCTCTCCTCGCGTTCTCCTCGCGTTCTCCTCGCGTTCTCCTCGCGTTCTCCTCGCTCGCTGCAGGTCTGTTCTTTACGTCACAGCGTCTTCATGTTCAGCGCGACAGAACCTCACAGGAGCCAGTGTTCACTTCTGCCGAGCGACTTGAACAAATTTCCGCCAGAAAAAAGAAAAGAAACTATTTTCCTGCTGCTTTAAAATTTCAGACTTTATAACTCACTCCCACTTCATTCTGTTGCCACAGCCGCCCCGGGGCAGACGGACGCTCTGCACCACTGCCCCTCAGAAACATTCACATTCACACAGAGGACGAGAGTGAAACTCCTGGTCCAGGATCAGACCCATAACCCTGAGCCGCTGCTGCTCACAACAGAGTTTAAAGAACCAAAGTTTCCACGAGTCAAAACGAGCATGAAAAATACTGAAGCACGACGTCTACTGACGCACAGAAACATTGTACTGTACCAGAGAAAACAGCAGAGGGAGTCACAGGGACAGCGCCTTGCCCAACGGCACGATGGAAGACTGAGAGCAGAGTCCTTCTGAGGAGCACAGCCATAAACCCACCAGACTGAAGAGAAAGAGAAAGAAGGAGAGAAAGAAAGGATGAAGTGAGTCTTTTTAAAACTTCAGTTCTGTCAGAATCCAGAGATTTAACATTGTAAAAGTTCTTAATATTAATATTATTTCTTTTGTATTCTGCGCTGAAGCAGAGCAAAGGATCATGGTCTCTGTAGTTCCCTTTGTTTGACTTTTGACGACACAATATCACATACATTTCATTTTTTCAAACATTCAGACTTTTCTGTCACAAATGATTCCTCGTTAAGTTTTATAAATGAAAACTGTAATTACAATAAAACAAAGACACAGACCAGAAATGATGCAGAAACAACAAACATAAAGCAGTTTGTTCTAAAATGAAGATTCTCTCTCTACAAACTGTGACCAGATCATGTGTTTATAGAACAACGTGAATTTCTGGATATTTTGTCGTTGCTTGAGTCGTGGATCCAGACTTTTCCACAGTTTTACACACACACGCACACGACACACACACACACACACACACACACACACACACACACACACACACACACACACACACACACACACACACACACAAACTTTTACAGAGGGTTTGAACATTGAGCAATTTGAAATTTCTGCAACTTCTAAAATGATGAGTTCTTTTTCTCATTTTGTATTGAACGTTGAAAAGAAAAAGAATTGTTCTACATTTAAAGTCCAAACAGGCGACTTACGGATCTTTTTATTTCTGCTTCAATTGTTTCAAACTTGAGTAAAACTAATCGACGCTCAGTCAATAATAAAACAATAGACAATAAAATATCCTCATTAATGTTCAATAATGCGCCAATCCAACTTTATTTTGTGATTTATGAATTACGTCTGTGGACTTGGGTCACGAAGGTTTGACACTTTTAAAATATGAATCCCCAGAAAAAAGAAAAAAAAAAGTTTGGGAAACACTGAACTAAAACAGTTACACAGTTGTACTAGAGCAGAAAGGTTCGGGTTCAGCAGTGACATAATCAGACAGAACGCACGAGACTGTTCACGTCCAAAAACACGGTCTGTGCACGCGCGCGCTCACACACACGCACGCACGCACGCAGGCGCGCGCACACACACACACACACACGCACGGTGAAGAAACTCGACCCTGCTCGGTTAAAGTGAGTCTCGGGTGTCTCCTGGAGCCGTTTGCAGGAAAATATTTATGACGTTTTTATAACAAGTTAAAAAAGTTCGTATGACGTAATGTTACTCTGCGTAAAAAGAAAAAATAAATAAATAAATAAATAAAAAAAAAGAAGAAGAAAAGTGCTCCGTGCGTAAAAGAGACGTACCAGACACGAGCAGCAGCAGAAGAAGCAAAAACACCGAGTTCTGGAGTCGAGTCAGGGCTAAAACTGGACCGAACCGAGCCAAGAACCGAGCCGGGACCAGGAGCCGGGAGCCGGGAGCCGGGAGCCGCAGTGGGTGGGTAAACAGGAGCCGGAGTTGTGCACTTGTGGAGTTATATCGGTCTGTGGCGCAGGAGTTTCACCTTTTATGGAGACGAGCCTCAACAGGAAGTGATCGTGACGCAACAGGAAGCAGGAAGTGTACGACAACAATAACAACAACAACAAAATAAACCCCGTTATATGAAGGAAAATCATTAGGTGAAAGAAACAAGTGAAACTGGCCTAAACGTATTCTTTTTTTTTATTTAGAATGCCTCAATGCAACCTTAAAAAAAATAATTTGACTTAAATGTTAGATTAAAAGACATAATTCCGTGTGGTACTGCCTCCGTAACTTTATTTTGAACAAACTGGGCGGACTAAACCTTCTACTTGTTTGTGACTTTGACATCAATAATCTTCCTGTGTCTTTATCACAGTTCCACAAGCAAATGTTACTGTCCTGGAAAATGTTTTATGTTCATAATTATTCTCCACACTCCACAATAATATGGAATAATAATAATAACCGACGTGTTCTACATCGTAACAAATCAAAGAAATATTGAGTCTGTAGCACATTTAATGGATGAAAGTGGATGTGAAGTGAAAAAGCCCAGCTCCTCTGCTCCGAGTCTTTACCTCCTGAGCTCATCCTCCTCTGTTCAGTTGATCATGTTATTCTCAGTGTGTCCAGTAGGTGGCAGTAGAAAACACAGGTGAGTCTCTGCGCTCAGGTGAACAAACACAAACCAAACCAAAAACAAATATGAGGGGAAAACACGGAGACACCGCTGAGGAAATTTACCTGTAAAATGAGTTTTAAGTTTAGTTAAAGCAGTAAAATTGTGGTAAAATCCATATAAAAAAGTAATTTGTCTCAATTTAAATGTAAAATGAATATTGTGTTTAATTTAAATAAGGACAATGAGAAGCCTTAGTTAGATTTAAATGCAATTGGCAGATTTATTTTATGAAGTTCCCCAATTTAAGTTAAAATGTAGATTAGTAAATAAATTCAATTTAAGTCCTTAAAATGTTAAAAGCTAAACTGAATAATTAAATCATTTGATTGATAATTGGCATTTGATTGTTTAAATATAATCTGATTTATGGTAAATGGTGTAAAATGTACTAAGTTAAAGTAGCACTATATATATATATATATATATATATATATATATATATATATATATATATAAAAACGATTAATTAATCCGTTTAAAATTTGTGATGATACAATATTACATTTATTTCATATAGTCATTTAAAATTGTATAAAATAAGTTATATTATAATAAATAATACATATTGTAAATGAAGTATATTAATTAAAATTAAAATAGATTAAATTACTAATGAATTTTTGAAATGTAAATTTGATTTCATTATTACGCATATTTGTTTACTTCAAAGGTACCTGCTACTGCTGCAGCTACTACAAATACTACTACTACAACAACTACTACTACTACTACTACTACTACTACTACTACTACTACTACTACTACTACTACTACTACTACTACTACTACTACTACTACTACTACTACTACTACTACTACTACTACTACTACTACTACTACTACTACTACTACTACTACTACTACTAAAGGAACTGAACAGTTTCAATAAAAATCTTCAGTCTGAGTTGAGCTTGTGTCTGTTTTTCTGGTTTTCCAAGTTGGACCTTCGTTCCTTAATTAAAGACTTGACAGTGGAAATTTACAAACTCACTAACAATTCTGTGCAAAACATGATTTTAATCCTTCATGTTTTTATGTAATGCACTTCCTAAAGAACACACACATCATGACTCTCAGACTTCAGGTCATGGTGCAGTTCACACTGGGAAAGATCCTGTGAAAAAGTGAACATCAAACCTCCATGTTTGTTTTCCCAGTGGGACGTGTCTATTGACAAAGTCGATCTTTTCAAGTCTTTTGAACCATTTCACTTTTGTTTCTGGTTCTGATATTGTCATATTTTAGTTTTGGGATTCGGACGTCGTAATTGTTGTGGTTGTTGGATCCTAACAGCGGAAAACGACTCGAGAAATGTGTTTGTGAACTTCATAAATGCAAAAGTGAATCAGATGTGTGTGACTCAAACCTCTGTTCAAACTGTTTCTCTTCCCAACGGAATTGAAAAATAGTGAAAGGTGAAGGTGATGGGCAGGATTGATCCACAGGAAGAACCAAAAAGGAAACATTTGTCTGACTAAATCATCCCGAGTTTACAGAGAACATTAACAATGTTATTTTTAAGTGTTTTTATTTTTATTTATTTTTTTGAGAGAGAGAATTGTTGAGTAAATACATTGTGTGATTAAAACATAATCGCTTGAATAATTGTGATTTCAATATTGACCAGAATAATGGTGATAATGGTTTAGTCCATAATGGAGCAGCTGTAACACAGAGGGAGTGGAGCTCAGATGAACATCACTCTGTGTAAAAATACAGACACATGTTAGTCTGGATTTGTCAGACAAAAGCTGATTTGAAATCCATAAATCAAAACCTGAGGATTTCTGTCTCGTCGCCTTTTAGAACTGCAGGTTTCATCGTGTCAGAAAAAGTTTGTGTAGTGATTTTTAAAGAGTAATCTCCTCTACTGCCAGCAGATGGCGTCCTAACCCCAGCTCAGTGTTGTGGTTTTACTGTAGAAACTGTATGAGGACAAACTTTATTCACTTTACTGTGTGACGACAGATGAATGAATGAATGAATAATGGGCTTTATTGTCACTTCTCTCCACATGTTCATGTTCATACAAAGAACTGACAACGTGGACCGGAGCAGGAGTCAGGGAGCAGACAGGAACAAACACTGCAGCACAACATGAGGAAGGGGGAGGAGAAAACAAAAAGAACCACCCCAGATCCTGTTCTGACATCACGACACTGGGAGAAAAACAAACAAAAACCAACAGCGTCCAGACACAGAACAAACACTTGACAGGACGAGCAGCAGGGGAGGGGAGGGGTGTGACTCCACTGCATGTGTGTATTTCGTTTTACTCGAGCGTAAAAACTGCAACTTTGGACGCGCGTCCAAACACTCGCGTAGAGCGAAATACACACATGCAGTGGAGTCAGGCCCTATGGAGCAGCTCGTCCTGCGCGAGTAGATTTCAGAAAATAGGATCCATTCTATTTTTTGACACTCTACATGAGCGTAGGCGCGTGTCCCTGTCAAAATCCACAGAGAGCATGAATCTATTGTTGTATTTGTGTGTTTACCATCAGCACATCGAGCTCCTGGGGCAGATCTGTGTTGTGTGAAAGAGCCCAGGTCCACAAAGACTGTTCATAAGAGCTTTAAAATTGACTTTGGAAATCCTGGTGTTTGCCCTGGTCAGTCTGTACAGAAGGTAAATACAAGTGTGTTCTGTTAGTTTCACTGTGGACCTGATACAAGCGACTAAACGCCTCAGTTAAGTTTGATCGTCTTTCCCATTGACAAACACAGAGTCAGTGCCGTGCGTGTTCATCCTGCTACAGCTGCCTGCAGACAGAGCCGCTGTTCTGTCTGTACATGGACGAGTTTGATCTCTTCATATTGGACAATAAAACACTTTTGGAGACAGAACCAATGGGACAGTGGAGAGAAGATACACTCCACTTCCATCCTCTGGAGAAGGCAAGAGTCTTGTTTTTGTTAGTTTGGGGCAAATCTGAGGACAAACCCTCACAGGTAAATAGTGCGTAAATGAGCTGCTCCGTTGTTCTGTCGTGTGCTGTAGGAGCAGTGCTGACTGTCGCCTCTTACTGTAGTTTTGTGATGTCGTTGTGAGCAGTGGATCAGGTTGTGTTGCTGTGTAAAGTTTGAGCTTGGCTGTGCGTTGTGCTCTGATATAGTTCTGCCAATAGTGACCAAAATGACTGTCTGTTTCTGGCATTCGTGATAATATTATATAGCCTGTATATATCAAATGACATTGATGTGAGTAGCCGAGGTAAAGGTGCGTTAGAGCAACAGACACAGAACGCCACAAGAACACATCATCATTCTTCTGCCATCAGTGAAGTGTTTCCTAACCCAACTTAGACAGCGATCTTAACATCAAAATGGTCCCAGAAAAGATGCAAGATGCAGCTTTATGTCTGAAGAAGACCATTTATCTTGTATCAATGTACAAGTTTAGCATGTCTAATAAAGTGAACATGTATAGAATGTATGGCCAGCGTATAACAGTTAACAGAGAAAACAAAACATGTTTTTATACATATATTAAACATAAAAATATCCCAGCAACTAACACAGAAAATATCATTTAATCACATGTAACTTACAGATTATGGTTTGCCCAGGGTTTCCCAAGAAGATTCCACAGAGAGGCTTGTTTTGGTCTTAACACCTCCAAAACCGTTACTAACTTGTCTGGTGCTTACAGGTGGAGGCCGCTAGATGGCGCTGCCACGCACAAACTAATTAAAGAAGAGGACCGAGAAAAGTGAAGTTATAATGACAAAGTCTCCCTCTACTGGAGAAACAGGGGATAACAATAACACTGTACATAAACTTAAACCAACAGAATTTAATGACTGAAATGAGGGACAGAATAAGCTTCTTTTAACATCTTTTTTTGCCCGACCAACAACCAACACAACAGACGACAAAACCACTGCTGCTGCTGAGCTGACCAAGCTCTTTCACACCATTAAACAGCAGCACCCTTACAGAAGTTTAGACTGTTGATCTCATCCTTTCGGTCACTACCCAGAGCTCATGACCAGAGGTGAGAGTAGGAACGAAGACTGACCGGTAAATCAAGAGCTTCACCTTTAGACTCAGCTCCTCTTCACCACAACGATACAGCGACCGCATCACTGATCCACCTGTCAATCTCACGCTCCATCCTCCCCTCACTCATGAACAAGACCCCGAGATACTTGAACTCCTCCACTTGAGGCAGAGACTCTCCACCTGGAGACGACAAGACGCCTTTTTCCGGTCGAGAACCATGGCCTCGGACTTAGAAGAGCTGATCTTCATCCCAGACGCTTCACACTCGGGTCAAACTGCCCCAGTGCACATTGCAGGTTCTGGCTCGATGAAGTCAACAGGACAACATCATCTGCAAACAGCAGAGATGAAATCCTGTGGTCCCCAAACCGGACCCCCTCCGGCCCCTGACTGCACCTAGAAATTCTGTCCATAAACACAATGAACAGAACCGGTGACAGGTGCAGCCCTGGCGGAGTCCAACATGCACCGGGAACAGGTCTGACTTACTGCCGCCAACGAACACAGCTCCTGCTCCGGTCATACAGGGACCGGACCCTTAGCAAAGGGCCCCGGACTCCCAGAGCACCCCCCACAGGACACCACACGAGGGACACGGTCCAATGCCTTCTCCAGATCCACAAAACACATGTGGACTGGTTGGGCAAACTCCCATGAACCTCGAGCACCGATGGAGAGTGTAGAGCTGGTCCAGTGTTCCACGGCCAGGACGAAAACCACACTGCTCCTCCTGGATCCGAGGTTCGACTATCGGCCGGATTCTCCTCTCCAGTCCCTGGCATAGACCTTACCGGGAAGGCTGAGAAGTGTGATCCCCCTATAGTTGGAACACACCCTCCGGTCCCCCTTCTTATACAGAGGGACCACCACCCCGGTTTGCCAGTCCAGAGGTACTGTCCCCGACCGCCACGCGATGTTGAAGAGGCGTGTCAGCCAAGACAGCCCCACAACATCCAGAGACTTCAGGTACTCAGGACGGATCTCATCCAACCCCGGAGCCTTGCCACCAAGGAGCTTTAACCACCTCAGTGACTTCAGCCAGGGTGATGGATGAGTCCAACTCCGAGTCCCCAGCCTCGGCCTCCTCCTCGGAAGGACGTGACGGTGGGATTGAGGAGATCCTCAAAGTTTTCCTTCCACCGCCGGACAACGTCCCCAGTCGAGGTCAGCAGCTCTCCCCCCGCACTGTAAACAGTGTTGGTGAAGAACTGCTTCTCCCTCCTGAGGCACCGGACGGTTTGCCAGAATTTTCTTTGAGGCCGTCCGATAGTCCTTCTCCATGGCCTCCCCGAACTCCTCCCAGCTCCGAGTTTTTGCCTCCGCGACCACACGGGCTGCAGCACGCTTGGCCCGCCGGTCCAAGCGTGCTGCAGCCCGTAATAATGGTAATAGTGATGATAATAATGATAATAATTATAAATATGATAATAGTGATAACAATGACAGTAGTCATAATAATTATAATAGTGATAATAATTATAATAGTGATAAAAGTGATAAGTGGTTTTATAGGGCTGTTTTTAGAAATTTAGTTGTGCTCTGTGGTTGTGTCTTCACTTTTGGGCTTAATTTTCAGAGTCATGCCGGTGATCACCCTACCCACACACAGCGGCCTGCTCTCTCATGGTCAGTCATGTGATTTTGCAGTAGCCTCAGTCTGAAACTCCCTCCCCTTCCTTCTTCCCTCTCACATTTTCTTTTGTCTTTATAATCTCATCTCCTTCGTCTTTGTGCTCAGAGCGTCTGTCTCCTGCTGTCAGATCTACAACTGAACCTTCATCAGGTTTTAAAACAACATTTTTCTCCACCTTGTTTTTGCTTTTCAGACACGGTGAGTCTCAAAACACTCACACAGACTGGGTGTATGTACTTTGACCACTTTGAGCATTTTGACATCACTATATTTGGACCATAAATAGGGTGACCACCGGCATGACTCTGAAAATTAGGTAAATCTTAGTAAATTTCAATGCACTAATGAACGTCAAAAATGAGGTCGCATAACAGAGGTCCGGACAGAAGTCTCTAAAGCCGGACTGTCTGGCCGAAATCTGGAGGAATGGTCACCCTAACCTTAAACACCGGGTGCTTCTCGAGAAACTTGACTTAAATACAAGTACATTGTACAAACAATTCTCACATATTTTCTGCTTCATTTTAGTCTTTTTAAACACTTTTGTAGTTTATGCAGGAAAATATAATGGAAATATCAGATGTGCTGCATAATTATATCTTCACACTTTACTCTTTATTTTTAAATTTTGACTCTATGATTTGTCGATTAAATAAAGTTTTAAATTACTTGAAATGCTTCGATTTAATTTTTTTAAAAAAAGTGCGTCACAGAGACAGAAAGAGGAAGAGGAGAGGGAGGAGGTTCTGGTAGACATGCAGTTTTTAGTTTTCGTTTCTAAGCAGAATTTCTCTCCAGGCCTCTGTGTTTGTGTTTGTGTCTGTGTCTGTGTCTGTGTCTGTGTTTTTAGTTCCAGCAGAAGTAGAAGTGTAGTTCTGGGGTGTGAGCTCCAGGGGGCGCTGAGCCACAATCACACGACACTCACTGCCAAACTCACCGTTCAATTAAATGAAATAAATTGTGATAATTTTGTATTTCTGGACGTGTCAAGAAGAGTTTAAATTCATTTCCACTTAAACTGATTTAAACCGTTTTAGTTGTTTATGCAGGAAATATTATAAATATATTTTATATAAATATTATAAATATATTAATATAAATATTATAAATATATGAGACTTTTTACATCTTTGTATCTTTTAGCCTTAACTCCACTTGTTATTTTAAAAAACACTTTTGACTCTTGATATTTTGTCCAGATTAATTAAATTCAAGTGTAAAATGTAGTGAAATGCCTCGATTTAAAAAGTGTGTCACATTTTCTCGACGCTGCAGAAACAGGACATTTTACTTGTTTCTGTTTTGAGGTTTTGCTTCCTGACCACAGACACATTTCTCTGATCTGACCAAGATTTAAAAACTTCTGTCAGTTTTTTCATGTTGTTTTCATGTTTATGTTCGACTCTCTCGTTCTGACGCTTCGTTCTCGTCTAGAGGAGGTTTATTTTACTTTTAGTCATTTTCTGATATTTAAGTGTTTAAATTAAGACAAACTTTTGTGCAGTGTAAAAGATTTTCACTTATCTCATTGTTGGGAACATGTTCGTGTGCAAAGTACTGGGGGGTTGCAGCTACATTTTCCTGTCGTCGGTCAGAAGACACAGGAGACTTGATAAGTGACAATGAACTTTAATCCAGTTTGAACAGTATCGGTGATGTGGTTTTCTGTAACAAAAACAGCAAAAGGGAAATAATTATATAATCAGATATTACACAGGTAAATAATGTGACAGTAACAAGGCTTAAAAGTGACTGAACAGCGCCCTCTTTTGGTTAGAAAAATGTACTGCAAAGTTCAGTTTACAGTTTGGTGACGTCATGAATATTAATTAGCGGAAACGAGCAAATTATATAAATGCGAAGTTTGGACAAAGGAAAAACTTAAGACTAATTAGGAGAACATTCAACACAAAAGTACAATATAAAAGTGAAAACATTAATAAAGCTCGTACACTAAAATAAACACCAGGTATAAATTACAAACAGGATTATATTATTAAACAGAAATCCAAATACTGGCGACATTCAGGTGCCGAAACAAATAAACATAATAAATATAAACACACAAACAGAAATACAGTGTGACACTTATTTATTATTAACACACA